GGTGCCACAATCCGAGGTGAGAAAGAGACAGTCCTGCTCAGAGTCAGGGGAATTATTGAAGTGACTTTCATGGAAAGGATGTAGTTCATTTAGCGATTATTTAGAACCACTAACATTTAATGTGCCATGCTATATTCTGTGTCCTGCTGGTCCGTCACCAGTCTGCCCCCTCTTTACCACCTCCTCTCTCCTATCTCTGTGGTTTGATGCTCTGGGGTTGCTATGCAGTGGACATCAGTTGTTATAGTGGCCCATATCTGTGGAATGTCCTTCCAGAGCTAGGCTTGCTGCCAGAGAAGGAACCAGAGCCCCAAATCCAAGCCCTCTACTGCAAAATGTACTCATAGACTCAGTTCTCCCGATCAAAAGGCCTTTTAGAGATTGCCTAATCTAACCCCTTGTTTTACATGCAGATGGGAAAGCCAAGGCCCAGAGAAGTTCACACAGGAATCTGTTCACATCTAATCCCATGTCCTGATTCCTAACCTTCCCAGGGTGCCCTGCCTAGGACTGCTGGACCAGAGGGTCAGGCCCTAAGACCTTGGTTTCAGTGCTTTGGGTGTGGCTCCTCCTGTCCCCTTGGGGAGGGGCCGACAGGCTGGCCTGTCCCAAGCATTTATCACTTCTCCTTGTCCCCTGGGTGATCCCTGGGTAGTTAAAGATGAGAAAACAGCTCTGGATGGTGCAGAGTCCTGGATGCTACACCATCTGCTTGTCAGTTCCATTTATTATTCATGAGGAAACATGAGCCCCTGGGTTGGCAGGGTCAGGAGTTTTGTCCCTTATCCCCTTCCCTTCTCACCCCTTGGGGGTGGTGCTCTCAAGCTTTCAGGAGCCTACACAAGGTAAACACTTGCTTCTGCAGGTATGGTCTGGTTGGGGTTTATGCTGCTGCTTAGATCCTCAGGCCAGCTGTGTGAACCTGGGCCAGAGTGGGTGTCCTCATAGTAGATAGTTTCCTTTCAATTTTCTCAAAGAGCCCAGAGACCCAGGGCAGAGCCCAAGCTTGGGGGATGGGCTCTGGATTGCAGGGGCAGGGCTGCTGCGCATGTCTGTCTCTTTGTGGAAACAAGAGACTTGTTTCTAGGCCTTGCCACTTCTTAGCTGCATAGAGTGGGTCAATACTTTACTTCTCTGAGACTCAGTTTTTTGTTTTGTTTTTTTGTTTTTTTTAGACAGAGCCTTAAACTGTCCCCCTGGGTAGAGTGCTGTGGCATTACAGCTCACAGCAACCTCCAACTCCTGGGCTCAAGCGAGTCTCCTGCCTCCGCCTCCCACCCCCCCCCCCCCCCCCGGGCCCCAGGCGCCCCCCCCCCCCCCCCCCCCAAAGTAGCGGGGCCCACGGGCCCCCGCCACAACGCCCGGCTATTT